TTCTTGCCCCTTAATCAACTGAAGTGATGTTTTTTATTTGCCGGGTATTATGCAGCCAGAATGACTGTGCAATGTTTTCGTTAATATCAGTAAAGTGCCTCTTCTTGCACAAGGTTTTTAATGGGGTTGTGCTGTATCTGTGTGTTCGTCCACCTCTTGAAAATGGTCAAGATTGATAAGAGCCCCTTCATAGTTCATAGTCATACTGGTCCACAAATATCTAATGTAGGTTTTGTTGAATGAGGTTAAACAGAATCGGTTATTTCATAATGTGAAGTGTTATACAGACACATAGATCTGCAAAATGTGTGTTTAAAATTGCTTTACGTGCATGTAAGTGAAAATGTTCTCCACCCACATAGCGCGGTGGGATAGGCTGGAGGCTACAGTTGTAGCGTGTTTCCTTTTGGATTCCCAGCACCGCGATTATTCTGTAATAGAATGGAGTCCTAGAAGAGACATTGTCGCGTTGTCGCATTTTTGTCCTATAAAAAAACAAGCAAACATTGACATTGATGTCGCATTGTTGCGTTATCGCGCTTTTTCTTGAAGTTTTCGTTTGTGCTCTTTTGTATCGAATGTATGAGTTAACTTGATTGGCTGAATGTGAATTTAGCTCACAATAACTGTACGTCTGAAGTCTTTAATCAGTATATGTATGCCTTAGGCATTCGACAGATAACGATATCACCTATTCATAACTCGATCACTCACTCACTCACTCACTCACTCACTCACTCATCCCCTCACTCACTCACTCATTCACGAACATATCCACTTACTCACTCACACAGCCATCATCCATCCACCAACCCACCCAACCTCCCACAAACCTACCCACTCGCGGATTTAGGTAATTAGATAATGTGGGTATAGAACATCCCACTCTTGAATTCTTAAGAAGTTACAAAAAAAACTGAACAAATAAATAAAGGATGACTTTTATGTTTGTTTGTATGAACAATGTGTCCTTCATACACTGTTTCAAATAGTCCTTTTATACAAATAAATAGAGCACCAGCAATCATACATTGATCATATATCTAGTTATAGTCAAACTATCCCACACGCCAAGACGATGGGTAACGGTGTTGGTATAGTCCAAGACAGATAAGTGGCCATTGATGAGTCTGTCGTTAGCTCTCAGCTAAGTCGACTGGTCGACTGCAGCATAGCAATGTTTTCTAGATGGTTGTCCAGGGTGACCACACTGGTGGGCACGTGTCACCTTGATTTTGAATTGCTCGCGCTGAATCAGTTTTACAAAAGCAAAGATATAGGGGTGGTAAGGAGTCAAAGAGTGCAGTTTGTTGTGCCACCCCTCGATGATGTTGTTGGTCCTATGACCGCTGTGAGTAAAACTGCACTTTATCCCAGTGAACACTCTCTACCCAAGTAGTCGTCACATAGTCCTTAAACTCAGTGGCTGTTTCTCATTGTGGACTATCGGCAATTGTATCCAACCTAACATTGTCAATCTGGTAAAGGTGAGGTGAGGTGAAATGGGGTTTAACGTCGCGTCCAAGGTTATTGCACTTATATAGCGACGTGCATGTACGTGTGTGTGTTTGTGTTTGTGTGGCTGCTTGTAATAGTCCGGACTGATGCCGATTTAAAGTGCTAGCTCACTGAGATACCATGCCGCAGTTTAACATGAATATCCCACTCAGACACAGTATACTGCCTCCGAGCCGACCAGTCTTTGTTTTAGCCCCTTAATGCCGAGCGCCAGACATGGTAACAACAATTACCATCTTTTAACGTCGTTTGGTACGACGCGGCCGGGGATCGAACCCCGGACCTTCCGCTCTCCGGGCGGACGCTCTACCACTAGACCACAGAGGCGGTCCAATCTGGGAAAGAGATGCAAGGGAAGGGCCTTAGCTCTGGAAGCGAGCTTCTTGAATTCTGCACCTTCTTCGTAGAGAGTAACAAGACCGAGATGCTGGATCTTCCTCCACAAGGCCTGAGCATAATTGAAAAAGCAGCCACGTATCTGGACATGTTTAAAAACTGTAATACCAGAATTGGCAGCAGCCTTCTCAAAATCAATCTGGAATACCAGGGGTTTCAGATTAAAATGATGTCGTTTTGCTTTATCCTTAATCTGCATGAAGGCGTTTGTGGAGGAAGCTTCGGTCTTTTCGGTAGGACGCAGTGAACAAGAGCATACATGTTGCCTTGATGTTCATCATGGAGGGTGTAAATTTGACAAAACAGCTCGGGGAGGAGTAGAGGGAAGTGCCATCAGCAAATACGGCCTCAGCTTCACAGAAATGTTCCAGATATTTTTCGTGTTTTGAAGATGAGAAGTTTGTCGTTGTCTCCTTGATAGGCGATAAGGAAGTTTTCACCAGCGTCCATCCTTCTCGTTGGCGATTTCCTGGTGTCAAAAGTAGGGAAATCCTGAACAGCTTGGATTGGGAAAGTGAGTGAGTGAGTATGAGTACGCCGCTTTTAGCAATATTCCAGCAATATCACGGCGGGGGACACCAGAAATGGGCTTCACACATTGTACCCATGTCGGGAATCGAACCCGGGTCTTCGGCGTGACGAGCGAACGCTTTAACCACTAGGCTACCCGACCGCCCCTGGATTGGGATAATGTCGGAATTCCTTCTCAGTACAGACAGTCCGTCAGTGTACATTTTGTTGATTGAAGTTGTCTCTTCTCATGCACTCTCCAACAATCGGAACTCAAACACATCGACGTCATAGATGTAAGGCAGTGCCTCGTGGTTCCGCTGAGTTGGCCCAATCTTGATAACAGGTCGCCGAGGGTCTGAATGGTACCCCTGCACTGCTGAATAGTAGTGAGTGAGTGAGTTAGTTTTGTCTTACGCCGCTTTTAGCAATATTCCAGCAATATCACGTCGGGGGACACCAGAAATGGGCTTCACACGTTGTACCCATGTCGGGAATCGAACCCGGGTCTTCGGCGTGACGAGCGAACGCTTTAACCACTCGGCTACCCGACGGCCCCTGTTGAATAGTACATCTAAAGTAAGAAGTATCTTCTTTCCTCCTGTTCAATTTACACTTATGTTCATCATAGTACGGGGGTCGGTCGGGTAGCCTAGTGGTTAAATCGTTCGCTCGTCACGCTGAAGACCCGGGTTCGATTCCCGACATGGGTACAATGTGTGAAGCCCATTTCTGGTCTCCCCCTGCCGTGATATTGCTGGAATATTGCTAAAAGCGGCGTAAAACCACACTCACTCACTCACTCATCATAGTACGCAAACCTACCGCCACGACAGCGGGGTAAGAAAGACACTGCAACTGGTAGCTATAGTGAACAGACATCACGAAAGATACCCATAAACTAATGTCCTAAAGAAACGATACCAACTATTTTTTTAAAAATATTGTTATTATAAGTGATCTTTATATGAAAACATACTTAAACATATCCCACGTACAAAGCTAATTGTAATCGGTGGGGAAAAGCGGGAAAATTTGACAATTTGTGTAAAAGACATGCACTTTGCAAAAACGATGTCAGGTGCCGAAGCACGGAATGCACGTGCAGATCTACTGTTTAAAACTGCTGACCCGACGCGTAAGGTACGCAACACCAAAAAAGCACATTAAAGAAATGGCACGTTTAACTGCGACAGAGAGGGAGAGAGCCGTTGGAATGGCCCAACAGGGAGCGACGCACGCCGTCACTGCCAGAACGTTACGGTATGCCCGTATAACCGTTACCAGGTTGATGCAACGGTTACGCTTCGTCAGGCAGCGACGGCATTGCGACACACGATCAGTGGACAAACCGTGGACTGGAGATGACGAGCCCACGGTCAATCGCCAGCAACTGGAAAAATGCCTCCGTGCCGAATGGCAACGCATTGCCTCCAACGTCATCCGACGTTTGACGTCATCGGCCCGTCCGCGTGTTCTGGTGTGCATTGATGCTCAAGGTGGACATACCCAAAATTAACGTGATGAGCATTCTGACATTTTACACACCTGCCTCGTCATGTGTTATGACTGACATTCATTGATGACCCAATGCATCTTTATGGGCCTGTCCGTCTACATGTTGAAGTTTCATTGTAATTAATATCTGTACACATGGTGTTAAAAGATTGCTCTTATGAAATATACCAATATGAATTTTCTATATGGTTTTGTGTTTTCTTCCGTAACCTTTCAAACACTTGGCATCGTTTCTTTTGGACATTAGTTCATATATTTCATTATTTAGAGGCTAGTAACAATCTCAATGAGTCTCAATCAATGTACGATGTTATTATAATAGATTAGGTTCGTATTATTTGGAGGCCGGTAACATTTGTAAACAATCAGTGCACCTTACAATTCCAGTAGACAAAGGGGGGCGGTCGGGTAGCCTGGTGGTTAAGGCGTTAGCTCGTCACGCCGAAGACCCGGGTTCGATTCCCGACATGGGTACAATGTGTGAAGCCCATTTCTGGTGTCCCCCGCCGTGATATTGCTGGAATTGCTAAAAGCGGCGTAAAACCATACTGAGTCAGTCAGTCAGTAGACAATGATCATATAAAAAGTCAAGTCATATTATATCAAGTCATTATAAATAGGAAAGCAAAAACCAACCATGCACAGCGCAGCCACAATTGTGGCACTCCTTTATGCTCAATAATGAACATTACCGTAAATCAATGCCAGTTTTAGGGTGATGTGGGCTTTGATGCACTCAAGCAGTAAAAGGCACAATTTATATTTCCACATTTACTTTCTCGGCCATCGTATTCTCCATCATACTGGCTACATGATGGAAGAAAAATCTACCACAACTTTTCATGATACTTGCGCTTAAATATATTGCAACATGTTCCCTTCCATAAATCAATCTATGATGTTAATATTTATAACATTTCAACCCAATTCAAGTGTATTTGCCTCGCTGATTATCGATAAAAAAATCAATTATTCTCTCTGTGCTTCATCGATGTTACTTCCAGCTGAAGTATATATGTACGAACTGGTTTCACCTGCACGCAGTCCTACCTCGCGCAGCACGAGACTTCCATGCGCCGCCCGTGCAAGTGGTGACAGACTGATCAAAGTTTACTTAAGAACAACATCATGGTCAATTTCATATGGAGTTTACTTTTTATTCTTCTGGGACGGCATGTTTGTGGTGAAACGACGCGTGCCGAATACAGAAGGCGCGTGGACTTGGCAAATACGATGTTTACTGATGCACATATTCACTTCACTCCAAATACAACTTCTTTAAAGTGTATTGAAAACTGTTTTTATATCAGTAACTGTGTGGTCGTGATGTCTTCAGGTGAGGGCGGTGATGCGGAGTGTTATTTATACGACAAGCAGACTGTTGACATGACGAACCAAGTTTCGAGCAATACAACGCATATCTTCGACAGAGGTAAAAAACTTTCTTTTTCATGATTTCAGTTTTTTTTTATATAAACCGAAATACAATAAAACATATTTATAGTTGCACATGATTTGTCCTAAAAAGTAATATTTTTATATTTTTAATAAAAAAGGAGACCATGGTAATTTGTGTTATGTGGATTTTACGGAATTATTTCTTCAAGGCACTATATTGGTACACTGGATCTCAAAATGATTTTTAAAAAAATAAAATTGAAACATTTTAACACATTTCAGGTATCTTTTTAAATTTCATTTGTGTTTTTAATATTATTTGTTAACGAAATAAAACAACTATTAACTACTTAAAATATATATTAAGAAATCAAATTGCATTTATTCAATGGAAAAAATATGTGGTTTATATGAGGATGTAAGTTTTGCTTTGCTTCTGATAAAATGTTCTTAAAAACAGTAAAATAAACATGTCCACAACAAACGTCTATGTGGGCAACCAGCTTCAACATCGTCAATGTGAGCCTATGTCACTGGTCAACGTCCGTCATCTGCTTTGACGCATGGAGCGTATATCCTCGTTTTCTCGTATTATAATTTTTCATGGCTGCTCTTTCTTTGACCATACATAAACTATCTGAATTGTTAATTAAACAGAATTTAGCAATGACGGAACTTCTTCTTTTCCCGGTCATAGCCCTTAATGATTTAACATTTTCACGAAAAACGTGTGTCGCTAGCGGGATTCGAACCCACGAAGTCAGGCAACGAAAGCTAACGATTGTAGTTTTCCGCCATGGCGACATGGAGGACATTTTATGAAATTTATAACTTAATATGTATTAACATCAGGACTGCGCGCCTCAGACTCAACTTTTCAATGACTAGACACCAGGTCCGCGTGCCTTAACTTATGCCTGCAGAACATTTGTGACAATGGTGTTATCACACCGACCTAACGCCAGTTAAACTCTTATTTTAAACTCGGACTTTCTGTGGAGTTTTTCGAACTATAATAAAATTAAGAGACTTTTGTGCGTTTATACAAACTAAACGAGAAAGCATCCTTTATCTATATCTGACACATCTATCTACTACGAAAGGTTGAAAAAAATCTAGGTATAAGAGGCAAATTAGTGGTGAGAATAACAGGAATGGATCACTCAATATCAGCAAAAAAACTTTATCGCTCTATATCTCTATGGCTTTCTCGCTTTTTCTCTCTATGACTTTCGTGCTCTATCGCTTTCTTTCGCGACTGATGAAGGGTGTCAGATGAAAGGATCGGGTGTTCTTTGACTTCTTTTGTGTATTATCTATTTAAATTATTGCCATGACCGGCAACGCGCTGATTGTGTGATAGTCCCATGAAATTTAGTACCATAATTCAACCAATTACTTTTTACCCAGAAATCCGTGGACTGTTTAAATCACCTCCGTCTGTACAGTTATTGTGTTTAAGTAGATAGTGAAAAAATCTCAGCATTCCCTCCATAGGTATATATATGAAATGTGAGTGGAAAAAAACCCAAACACTTTTATGAAAAACCCCCCACCTCAGCCCCCAAAATGAAGAAAACAACAACATGACTCCCCAACTCCATAGAGTTTGTGAAATCAGTTCAGTATCCTATTTCGTGTACCACGCACACTGTACTTCGTCACAAATAGAGATGGAGAAAAATTACAAAGGCTTATGATGAAGTTATAACTTCAGATTTAAAGATAAGATATTCCCCTAACTAGGAATGCAAGGCCTTCAAAAGCCAACATTTTGGTGGACTTCGGATGGATTTTGTAAAATTGTAAAAAAATTAATTAGTCTATATAACAATGTTATTAGGTCATGTATATTAAATCATAAATGAATGCTTTCATTTGGCGACAAATAACGATAGCATTGACTCATTGACGGCAGCAAAACGTTTCCGTATGCTTTTCATAAAAATAGAAATACACCTGTTTTTTATCTGCACATGTTATATCACGTCGCTCGCATACAGTGAATCTATTTATACTAGTCAGAAGCAGTTAAAGACCATCTTTCATATTACTATACTTGTAGTTTACCTGCCATAACAGATTAACTGTAGTAATATGAAGAATCGGGCCTTCACTTCTTTTGAGTTGTGTATGAAACACGCTTTGTTTCGTTTATTAACATAACTGTGAAAAACACAAAATTTACCCTTCAGCATAAACTCAAACGTTGACAGCAGTTATAAACAATGATTGACATCCATTGATCTACTGACAAACATAAAACCCCTTCAAATGGGAAAAAACCCTACAAAGTCTCAGCATGAAGTTATGCTCGAGTGAGAAGCAGTGTGATCAGAACAACCAGGGCAGTAGACACAATAATGTGTGCGTAGATGACATCACTGTAAGCACCCAGGCAGACACAATCGTTAGAAAGCAGCCAGTTGACATTAGAAGTCAGGGACCTTGATTCCAGCATCGATCTTGTGATCAATCCAGATATACAACGAGGGAAAGTTATGCCCCATTCTGGTGAAACGTCTCTCTAATAGAAACAAAAGTGAGCTCATCCGAACCCTATCAGCCGGTGGATATGATTCATTTGTGTTTGGGCGGTGGGGTAGCCAAATAGTTACAGCGTTTACTCGTTCGATTCGCCACATGTATGAAGCCCATTTCTAGTATCCCCGCCGTGATATTACTGAAATATTGCTAAAAGCGGCGTAAAGTGATATTCACTCATTCATTTAGTGTTTGTTCATGATGATCTCAGAAAAAAATCATAGGATCGTGGCATGCCTAAGGGACGCTACTTGCTGGAGAATGCTGGGTTGTCTTCTACATTCACCTGTGACATAAACATCCGTTTATTTTTTTACTAATACAGTTTATTGTACAAGCCCGTGATTTCACGAAACGAGTGTCAGAACTCTAGCATTTCTTACGCGAGTTTCGTAAAATCAGTTTCAAACACATAGAGTGTAATAATTTCTTTATTATCCTTTATTTCTTTATCATGTTGAGCTCCCCTTTAAAAAATTGCACTGTTCACGTCGAAAGACGTCATCTTCAGCTCTGACGTCGTTTCTAGTGTGACGTCATTTCAAGTGTGACGTCATTCCGACCTTACGTCACAATAAGATTCGAATGCCGCTTGCACACACGATTTTTATAAACTCCGTTATTTTTAACCCTATGGGTGATAATTATTATTATTACTTGCCCATAAAGAGATCACCTGTTTAATAAACATACAGCTGTATTACACATTGTGTAATACCATAACGCGTGCCTATGTACTCTCGGAACACGTTTCACGAACAAATATTGAAAGCTCTCAACATCCCTTGGCTTATTCGACGACGTTGCTTGTGGAGTTGATAGATCACTGAGTGGAGCTTATGCACACTCGATGACCCCAGCAACCTTGTTGCAAGGCTGACGTCACATGGCATTGTTTCGCCGATGGATCTTGCAACAAAATTCCACAAATTACGTCATCGGGTATTGAGACGTTATTGTAGGCCTTGAGGTGCAAGGCCCGCTCCACAAGGTGATCGTATTGTAGCGCAGCGACAGTCGTTAGTCTAGTTAAAGTATGTGAGTTGCAATAGTCTTAGCCCAACGATAATTTTGTGAATTCTAAAGGTGGACCGTTGTATGGTATTAAATTCATACGTTTCAAACTTTTGACGTGTTTGAAGTATTATTCTATTAGACTCAATTGGACTATGCCGTGGATCGTGTAGGTGTCAGCCTATTCATACTCAACAGTATAATTCTAAAAAAGTTATAAATGAAAAGCAATAAATAAGATACTAAACTCGCTCCCGTGTAAAACCAATTTTATGAAACTCGTGAATAGTTGTGGTTTCTGACGAGCGAAAGCTATTCACTCCTTTCATAAAATTGGTATTACACGGGAGCTCGTTTAGTATTCTATATTTACCTACTCACTACGGAGAGATTGGAATACGATGGAGAGATAAAAATGGTTACACTTCAAAGAAGTGTTAAATATCAGGCAGATCTTGTTTGAAAATGTCTACAAATACAACCGAGGCAATTGTTAGCAGCTGGTTTCTAGTCTTGGGTTAATGGAGAATCAATGACTTTATCACGTACTCAGTCCGGGCAAACGGAAGTCGAATTCCGGAAGTATGGATCGGTTTTCCCTTCGCTTCATCCAACACTTTATGTAAGCTCTTTAATTAATGACAACCTGCAGTGGTTATGATCCAACTCACGTATTTAGGCCTGGGACTGATGGAATATTCATCGAATTAGGACTACGTGCCCTCCAAGAAATATCTCTTCGGTTGACGTTTGTGTGGGGTCACGGCAACCATCAAGATAACCTCAAAATAAAAAGAACAAGTTTTAAATGATGCTATAGATTATAACATATAAGGATATCTATACTGCCACGTAAAAGAAAGTATACACCCATGTTTGAAGGTGGCTAAAATGAAACAAGCAAGAAATAGTTATTCGATGGTGATATATTTGATACGGATATAAGCCAGGTAACGCTTTGATAACGTTTGTAATTTGTTGGTTAAAATCTAATTTTCAAGTGTATGTTTTCTTTTGCCCTGCAGTTTAGAAATGCAGGCCTCCAAGAAACATTTCTACACATAGACCTCGGTTGACGTTTGTGAGAGGTCATGGCAAGATACCCTTATTTGAATGGGAAAAATGTTTTAAATGATATAAAATTTATTAAATGTATGTAATAATGTCTGTTTATAGGTTTGTCAGCACCATACCCGTGCTCCTGGGTTCCAACGAAGTGGTAAACGTCTGAGACTTGCATCAATTCGGGCTTACCTCCCACATTAAGCTGACAGGCCGTGATATAACTGGAATACTGTTAAAAGCGGCGTTAAACCCAAGTCACTCACTCACTCTTAGTGGTTTCAATCCATTTCATCTATGTAGATATGGGGCTGTTTGGGTCCTTCTCAAGCCGAGATGGGGTACATGGTTGGTCCAGTCGTCTAAGCCCTTTAAAATTTGCCCTTAGGCGTGCAAGAAACTGATCTAGGGTTCGAATTATGCCCCGATTATATTTCTAGGTTTGTCAGCACCAAACACGTGCTCGTTGGTTTCACCAACATGGTAAAGGTCTAATACCTGCATCACTTCGGGTTTTCCTCCCACATCAAGCTGACACGCCGTGATATAACTGGAATACTGTTAAAAGCGGCGTTAAACCCAACTCACTCACTCACTCTAAGTGGTTTCAATCCATGCAAGGTTCGAATTATGCCCCGATTATGTTTTTAGGTTTGTCAGCACCAAACACGTGCTCGTTGGTTTCAGCAACATGGTAAAGGTCTAATACCTGCATCACTTCGGGTTTTCCTCCCACATCAAGCTGACACGCCGTGATATATTTGGAATACTGTTCAAAGCGGCGTTAAACCCAACTCAATCACTCTCAAGCCGAGATACAAGGCGATAGTACTCAGGTCGAGAAAGGCCCATTCCAACTGACATAAACAATGGCTTAACTGGTATTTGTTTTATTTGATTTTAGTCTCGTCAGTCAATGTTGACTGTCCCATCCCGTCAACAACGTCCACGACACCGACCACAACACCGACCACGACCCCCGTGCCTACATACCTGCTATTTAAGTCGGAGACTCTGACTTGGGAGGGGGCAAGAGGGGTATGCCAGACGGATGGTGGTGACCTGGCCATCCTTGATACCCCGGAAGAAGTACAGACCGTGATGGACACAATGCTAGGTGATGAAAATTTGTTTGTTTATTTCTTTAACGCTGCATTCATCAGTACTCCAGCTATAAATAATCGAGTCGGGAACAGACAATCCAGTGATTGACATCATGATTTACGCAACTGACATACGATGACACAGTTAGCCTGACCACCCGATCCCGTTAGTCGCGTCTTACGACAAGCATAGTCGCCTCTCACAAGCATGAGTTGCTGAAGAATTTTAACCTGGATCTTCACGGGTGTGAGGAAAGTACTTACTTACGCCAGAGATTTAGAGAATAAGCAACGCTACACGCGGACTTAAGGAGTATCTGTCTTGCTTGACATGTTAGATAATAAGCAACGGTCCACCCTGAATTACGTATTATCTATCTTGAGTGAATACTCACAGAATAAGCAACGCTACACGCGGACTTAAGGAGTATCTGTTTTGCTTGACATGTTAGATAAGCAACGATCAACCATGTATTACGTATTACATTTCTTAAGTGAAATGTTTGGGAATACCAACGAGTTCGTTCCCTTGGGAATACATCATGTAAAATCCTCCCAAAAAGACTTGGGACACATAATCTATAATTGTCAGGATAAAACATTACTTTTACATATTGAATAAGAAAAGAAGGGAAAAAACAACTTATTGCTTTCATCACGTGACATGAACAATGGATGACGCCCTTTGTCCAGGTATTAGAATTTTATAACACTTGATCTTTCAAACGTTTATATTTACGGGCGCTTCCAGTAAAACCTATTGCGCACTCTGGAAGATAGCATTGTAGTAGGCATCGGTACAATGCAATCGTATGTCTACAGGAGGTGGTAGCCACGTTTCGCAACCTTTCAAACGCAGGTTAATATATTGATGGAAGGCGTCAGAACCACGTTTAAGTAGCTGGAGTCAGTAGTGATCTGTGTCGATGCTCATGATATCAATCACTGGATTGGCTTATCCAGACTGGATTATTTACAAACTTATTACAGTGTGGCGTTCAACAACAAAGTGATCTGAACAAACACAAGTTTTAGCTGCCTGGTTTAGACAGCCGTGTTGTTTGAATACACTTGAGAAGAACATGTATTATTTATGAGAACTTCCTACGAAAGGTAAAATACATGAGGTATAGTCGTGGTACAACCGTACATGACTGCGGCGCAAAACAGCATCCACACATTCAACCATTCACTCGCTACCAATTCTCCTTTTTGCAAATTCTAAATCCGACCCGTTACATATTTCTACCAGTATATAAGTACCGCTAAAGTAGGCATAAATGAATAGTTTGTACAGAAATACAGACATGTGCCCAAAATGAATACTTTGTTGGCAGTGGTGAAAAAATGAATAGTTTGCTGTGTGAAAAATACCCAAACGTCATTTTTTTTATTAATAGTAAAAATGAGTTGATTGTTTGATTGTGCTCAGTAAATAAATAGTTTGTTGGATATAACAGGAGGGAAAAGCCCATCCATCTGACCATATTATTCAAATGGATGCCCCCTTATTATGTGGGGTTATAAAAAGACCTAAGACAAAAATGGTCTAGAAGAACCGGCTAACGACCTTAGAGAAAACGGCCACCACATCTGGAAGTATAGGCCAATATACAAATAATATACACATGTTAATGAGAATAGGATCACTTTATTCTCTGTACCTTTACATCATAGCATCAAATATTTTCACGTATATAAATAAAAATATATACATACTTAGTTTATGCTGAAGCTCGGGGAATTACATCCACCAGCAAAAACATCGACCCAGCATGTGTTTATGAATCACTATGAAATAGTGATGATAGCAGGCGCTCGCGTGTATCCACGACAATACCTTAAGTCACTGATTGTTATCTTACCAACCTTGACAAAGATCAAGGCTGTTCTTTGATATTGCATTTACACTTCTCTCCCAGACATATTTTCTCATGTTGACCCTGTGGTGATCTAGTACCTAAGGACGCTGTTGCTATGGAGGTAAATGTTCTTCAATTTCCTGTTATATAAATCATGGTTGCTGCGTTCGAATGAGATGTTTTGTGTGAACCACGAACGACCGTTTAACGTACCGCTTATTTTCTGCTTCTGATGTGTTGTTTGTTTGTTTGTTGTTTAACGCCGCACTCAGCAGTATGCCAGCTCTATGACGGCGGTCTGTAAATAATCGAGTCTGGACCAGGCAATACTATGACTGATATCACAAGCATCGATCCACACAACTGTGATACGATAACTTGTTTGAACCAATCCTGACCACCCGATCGATCCCGTTAGTCGCTGTAGATGAACTCGTAACCAAAGTATTTCGTAGCCATCGAGAATTCGTAGACACAAGAAACTCGTGGAGAAGATTCACAGTGAACTCGTAGACAAAATAAATAAAATTGGGAAATAAATTTCAATATTGATTTATTACATATACAAATGTGGCAAATGCATTTCAAATCTTAAATTTTCAATGACAATAAATGTGGGGTGCATTATGACCTGACGCAATGGTCCAAGGATATGTTTCTAATATTTATATCTTCACATTTGGTTCATTATTTATTTTTAAGATGGACATGTTCGACGAAATGATATGCTGATGTGTAATTATACACATTTATATACATTTATATACATTCATGTATATATGTTAGATATATTTTAGATACATTTTCAGAGACTGAGGCTGAAGTGGTGTCTGGTTGCCTGGCAACTGCGAGTTTCTCTCACTATGATAAAATGTTGCTACGAATTCACTCCAGGTTTATCTACGAAATCCCTGTAAATTGTGTCTACGAATTCATCGCCTTCCCTTTGGAACCTGTTTCGGCAGATAATCGAGACTGATTATTCTCTGGCGTTGAAATTGGCTTTTTCGTTTGTTTGTTTGTTTGTTTTAAATGTTGACGTTAATCTGAAGTACGACACATTTCACTGACGTGTTTTTCGTGTTGTGCAGTGTGTAAACTTGATAAAGCATGGCTACAACACTGGCGATGCTCGTTTTCACGCGATGTCGGACAAAAATCCAAAAGAAATAGGCTATTAGAAACATGCTTATCTTCCCTTGATTTGCATGCACGAAGGTAGATTTTACGTTTCGTTTCGAAAGAACCGGAAGTGGAGAGTTATCTCCCCGGATATTCCTCCCTCAAAGTCCATTCCATAATCCTAAGAAATCGCTGCTAAAAGCAAAATCCATACAGTCCGACTGTATCATGAGCATGAGTTTGATGTTTGTAAAAAACACTGTGACCATTAATATCCCTACATGTCTATCTTCAAAGACAATTTCAAAGCAACTGTCATCTGAAGTGTGTGTGAATATCTGGACTTCCTCACAAATACCCTGCACCAGTATGTGAAATGTGTGGTAAGAAAATTTACAGAAACGAACAATATCATCAAGATTGTATGACAAGAGGGATGACTCCATCTTTCCTGTAGTCACCTTCCCCCTCATGTCTAGCAAAACCAGGCTTTGGTGTCTACATTTCACTATTGAGGTCAATTGACCACGCTGTTCTACGAAGATTTCAAACGAATCTTGCTCAAAGGTTGGTTGATCAGAACCCTTGAATTGCCTTTGCATGTGTTTGTGATGGGTGGCACTGGGAGGGAAGGATACATTCACCTTTTCACGAACGCCTGGTGAATAATATTTTGATTGTTATGCATACACTTATGGTAATGATGTAGTTGGAATGATACAATAGATTCTGCATTTAGCAGCGATTTCTTATTATTACGGAAAGGACTTTGTCGCTTTTAACTGAATATTAATTACAGTTAATTATATCCGTGTCTTTTAATTTCGACTTTACTGCGAAGAAGACATTAACATTAGTCTTCAACGCCAGGTATCTCCAGATGAAGGTACATGGTTTCTTGTCCGTTTAAAACAAATTTATCTTCATTTTAAGTCATTATTGTGAAATGAAACATGATTAGGTTTAAATTGGAAAATAATCATTTTTTCTTGCCATTGTAGGGTACTACATATGGATAGGATTCAACCGATCCACCCCGGATGGCGTGAACACCTGGGTAGATGGACGGACCGTGGTGGGTGTGACCTGGAAGCCTGGCTCGCCCGTGACACCTGGTGAATTGTGTGGCTCTATTGCTATATCAGCAACAACGTACCATAAGTTTGAGGTCTGTTCAAGGAGTGACCCCTTCATCTGCGAGTTACCGGTTGTGTAAACACCAGGTTCTAATGCTGCTGTACAGATTGTCCTGATCTTCTGTCGGTGATAACAGGAGTCTCTGTGCTATATCTTCTGTCGGTGATAACATGAGTCTCTGTGCTATATCTTTTGACGGTGATAACTTGAGTCTCTGTGCTATATCTTCTGCCGGAGATAACAGGAGTCTCTGTGCTATATCTTCTGACGGAGATAACATGAGTCTCTGTGCTATATCTTCTGTCGGTGATAACATGAGTCTCTGTGCTATATCTCCTGTTGGTGATAAATTGAGTCTCTGTGCTATATCTTCTGCCGGTGATAACTAGAGTCTCTGTGCTATATCTTCTGCCGGAGATAACAGGAGTCTCTGTGCTATATCTCCTGTCGGTGATAACAGGAGTCTCTGTGCTATATCATCTGAGGGGACAAGATGAATCTCTCTGCTATATCTTCTGACGGGGACAACAGGAGTCTCTGTGCTATATCTCCTGTCGGTGATAACAGGAGTCTCTATGCTATATCTTCTGACGGGGACAACATGAGTCTCTATGCTATATCTCCTGTCGGTGATAACAGGAGTCTCTATGCTATATCTTCTGTCGGTGATAACATGAGTCTCTGTGCTATATCTTCTGACGGGGACAACAGGAGTCTCTGTGCTATATCTTCTGCCGGAGACAACAGGAGTCTCTATGCTATATCTTCTGACGGGGACAACATGAGTCTCTGTGCTATATCTCCTGTCGGTGATAACAGGAGTCTCTATGCTATATTTTCTGACGGGGACAACAGGAGGTTCAATGCTATATCATCTGAGGGGACAACAGGAGTCTCTGTGCTATATCTTCTGACGGTGATAACAGGAGTCTCTGTGCTATATCTTCTGACGGTGATAACAGGAGTCTCAATGCTATATCTTCTGACGGTGACAACATGAGTCTCTGTGCTAAATCTTCTGACGGGGATACTAGGAGTCTCTATGCTTTATCTTCTGACGGGGATAACATGAGTCTCTGTGCTAAATCTTCTGACGGGGATACTAGGAGTCTCTGTGCTTTATCTTCTGACGGGGATAACAGGAGTCTCTGTGTTCTATCTTAATCACAGTGTTACTAAAATTTCACAAAACAATTTAAATATCTATATTGATTTATTTTGGTTTTACATACACATTGCTAAGTCATACATTACATAACGAGCATGTATAGTGACGTAGGCATATCCGGTTCATATTTTTGATTTGCACTCCTAATTATGTATATGTTCATGTATTCACCGCGCACCTTCAGACGCAGCCATGGCACTTACAGAACCTGGCTAACAAAAACGTTTCTGTTTTATATAATAGCGGAAATTAATTCCTTTGCACGTTTACAAAGTCAGATTAAAATGCAATTGCCTGATAATCACAGGTACAAACAGCCTGTCATGATTACCCATGATGACCCTGAAATTGCACATACATCCGGGTCATTGCATGCCTAAATTCCACGAGCAAAACATTCGTCACACATTACAGTTACACGTGGGACCGAGTCTGTGAAAACACAAGGTAAATCGTTGAAGTAACTTCACTGTGAGTGAGTGAGTGAGTGAGTGAGTGAGGTTTTACGCCGCTTATAGCAATATTCCAGCAATATCACGGCGGGGGACACCAGAAATGGGCTTCACACATTGTACCCATGTCGGGAATCGAACCCGGGTCTTCGGCGTGACGAGCGAACGCTTTAACCACTAGGCTACCCGACCGCCCCAACTTCACTGTGAAAAACAACGTTGTTGACGGCCAAATCTCGTTAACGTTTTGGCACGCAAATCTGAAAATTAAGCGGTTGCTTGCAATTGGAATGTTTGAAACCAGAACTGCACAAAACGTTGTTGCGTTGGTGTTCATTGCAGCACCATACCCTCTAGGATCGGAAACCAACAGTCTGGCAAAACTAGGGGCGGTCGGGTAGCCTAGTGGTTAAAGCGTTCGCTCGTCACGCCGAGACCCTGGTGCGATTGTGGGTACAATGTGTGAAGCCCATTTCTGGTGTCCCCCGCCGTGATATTGCTGGAATATTGCTAAAAGCGGCGTAAAACCATACTCACTCACTCACTGGCAAAACTAAGAACCGACCAAGATGGCAGATATACGGTACCGGGACTAAGTTATCATTCCTCACGCTTTCCGTCAGACCCATGGACGTCACATCACTTGGCTGCCAATTCAGCTGGACAATTCACGCTCTTACATTTCTCGTGGTCACGGACTTCATTGGACAACGGAATACAGTAAACTACGGTTATAACGAACCTAAAGGGACTACTAATTTTAGTTCGTTATAACCGTAATTCGTTATATACAGCATAACTACAGCAAATAGTCGGGACTAAAAAGTTAGTTCGTTATATCCGTCAGTTCGTTATAAGCGTGTTCGTTATAACCGTAGTTTACTGTATCCCCACACGTCCCAGGCCTGCCGCTCATCTAACATGTGTGGCATGACGTGCGTCCATGTGCGACATGCCTTGGTCAAGAGTTGGAAGTACATCCCACAGTTCTTCTACAACCTTGTGCCGTCATTGAGGCATCGTTGTCAAGGTTGTGTCACTGCTAATGGTGGCCGTACTGACTTGTGAACTGACAACTGACCCCACTTCACTTTCAGCTTGAGATAGCGTTTACAGAGGACAGTGTTGACACTGTCGTGATGAATTCATGTTTCATAGACATTAATATATTGATCTGTTGCAAAATCGTGTATGTATTTTCCATGATAGTCAGTGATGCACAAGACCTGGTATAATCCCGGTATCGCCAGCGCCTATGACACCACATTTCCACCAACTCATCGTGTAATCATCGTGTAGTTAGGTGTATATTTTGTGTATAGTATACTCTTAAATGGTTATATTATTGTATTATTGCTGAGTACCAGACCACCGTGACGTCATCAGTAAAGGTGACGTCACAATCAAATTATATCTGTCACTGATGCTGTTAAATATACGTTTTTCACACAATGCACAGCTTATTACATATTATGGATAACATGCTTTGGAATTCTAAACTGTTATCAACTCGTGTTGATATATGTCATATCAAAACACCGTCCCGTAGATTCTCGGTATACTTATATCTAGATCTTGTAAAAATTGTAAACAGTCTGTTTTAGTTGTAGACTGAACTGTGAAATGTCATGTTTCGTGAATTGGACACACCGCCTCCGTAATAAACATTTAAAGTGCACCATATACCGATGTCATGTTATCATTTTACAGATATTCTTCAATGCTAAGGGGACCGCCTCCGTGGTCTAGTGGTAGAGCGTCTGTTGTGCCCTTAAACCTACAATGGTCTTAAGTCTACAATATTCATGAGTGGGCGTGGCTTGTGTATGCACACGACACTTATTTCGTACGCACTGCTTCTCAATTGAACCCGGAAGTGCATCGAACTTCTGCCGTGTTGTGACAGCACACAGCGTGCAGTGAGACTGCATTGTTTGCGGTACAGCAGAACTTGAAGAAACTTTCCTTTTTATCATTCTGTAAACTATCATTATTTTATGCAAAACTAAGAGGAAATAAATCAAAATGTTTGTAAAACGTTCGTGTATTTTGTAAGCAAGTGTGGAATTTTAAGGAATTTTATTCCCAGTATAACCTTCCACTTTGCCATTGTGTCATGGAAAATAAACACTGAGAATTGGGCATTAAAATAGGAAATATTCCTTCTCGTTAGAAGTGTGTCATAACTCCCGTATAGCAACGTATATATCAAGTTCCATACCAACTACTTCTCGTGCACTCCCTGTTTCCTTCAGCGTTTTCAGTTGTGGTGTATTTGGATGGGCTAAATATGGACACGATAACTTTCTAAATATCCAGTATAACATTAAATTCAAAATTCAAATTCTAATCCAGGCTGGTAGTGTTCATATTCATTACATTAAATATGGTTAAATGTCAGTGGTTTTCATTCCCCATCAGATATTTGAAGAGGACGAGAAAGTGATGTGTCCCCCCCCCACACAAGATGATTGATCAATATCAGTATTGTATATCCATAAAAATTATATTGAATTCGTTTTTGTTTTGTTTGCAGGTCTTACCAGTTGGAACTGGTGTTTATATTGGTGTTCATGTTAGAGTCAGATAAAGTATTATTTTTTTTAATCAATAAACTGGAATTTAGTTTTGCATTTTTGGTATGCATTAGAAGTATTGTATACAGGCTACTAGTATATGGCTCCTTGTAATTCTATACTCATTGTGGGCAAGTCTAGATGAATCCAACGTCAAAATGTTCTTACTCTTTACATAATCTAGAAATTAAAACTAATACGTTTTGCCTTCGAGACTTGTGCAAATGTAACAGGCTACCCATTGTACAGGTTAGGCAAATTAAACAGTACAAATGTATCAGTTGGTTTATAAGACATCATTAGTATATGTAAGTGTTTGGGACATCCCCTGAAAACATAAACAAAGTAAATTGTGGCAGCAGTGAGGTAGTTTGTTTTAATGCTGCTATAAGCATAATGCCAGTCACATCACTGTAGAGGGCACCAAGTGTACACATTTGCATGTGGGTGGGGTGAAGTCACATACCAGTCAGCAGGACCTGTGCCCTACATCTGTGTATATTATTAGTTTTACACTCACATCTATACATAGGATGTGAAGCATGTGTATTACCATGAATAGAACACCTTCTTTACATCAAATTATACATGCATTTTGTCTGCTGTTAAATTGTGTGTTCAAATCTGAAGAAGAGGATACTCCTATGTAGGAACTAAATAATGTTTGTGTAATTAGAGATGGTGTAAGCTTCACATTGGCTTTTAGTTTGTGACACACGATTGGACATTCATGCAATGATAACTTAATACAAGAAAGGAGTGTATGTAGCTGAACATAGATAAGCTGTTCAAGGTACATTTGTCAAGGTTGACATTGTGTGAGAAGTCAGATTGTAGACATCCATCACCTCCTGGGGTTAGTTGTTGGTGTATTCACTTCACATGACAAAAGAAATGAAGTTCATTGAAGATGTTTTATTACAAAAATACAAAACAACCTATGTATATTATTGATGACAAATCTGAGGCACATAAGAAACAAACAAACAAACATATAAGAAATTGCAAACTACATGATCATATTCACTCTTGTTTAATGCTTTATTCAGCCATGTTCCAGCCACCTGTATGCAAATTCAGACCAGACAAATCAGTCATTCCTATTATGAGCAACAATCCACACCATCGGGGTACGATGACACACAATCAATAAAGTCACCAAATCTAACAACCAAATCTATTTAGTCGCCTGTTATCACAAGAATAGATTGCTGGGGTCCTGTTCTAAACCATATTGCAACAAGGTAGACTAAATGATTATTATGTTAAATATAATCATATGTGGTATTCAAGCGCTTAATTTGGTAGACACAAATATATTTTTATGGCTGTTGAAATAAGTCAGCAAAATAATCTAACACACAAGAAATGCCAGATGAATAATGATAGCCATTGGCTCCTTAACATTAAATGAACATAAACCTGGAGGTTACATAAATATGACAAAGACCATTATACACGTCATTTTCATGGGAATTAAATGTTTCTAGAATGCAAACCAATGTAACTAGCAAATGTTTCAAAATACTTGCAAAATCAGAAACATTTCCATTTACTCAAAATGTAAACTACCATGTATTTCAAGTCCAAACCATCACAATTTCTTCGTCCAAATATAACCCAGTCTCTGCATTACACAAGTAATACAGTTAATACAACCATGTGTCCCAATAACCTCAAATGTCACCTTGAACATTGACATATATAGCACTAACATTTAATGTGGCAGTATTTGTAAGGATGTACATATATAGTTTCATGTCTACAGAGAAAACCATGCCTCATACAATAATTAAAATGTGTTTTGCAAATATCAGAACACAGACCTTAACCTTTAATAATTTTAACCAAAGCCTAAACAAAGCAAGTACACATAATAAAGAAGGCATATACAATTTTGATAAATGCATGAATACCCCCTACTTGCAAAGCGTAACCACAAATGTGTTTGTCTTGTGTCATGGATATTTTACCAAAAAAACTCCCCAGGAACATTTTGAAAAACTCCTGTGAAGAATAATCCCCCAAATAATTAATCTTTGTGAAGTGGTTTAATAGTTACTTTCATACAACCACTTGTATTACCTTCCATGTTCGTATTAAG